AAAAAAAAAAAAAAAAAAAAAATAACCTTAATTTAATCAAATAAAGCCTTCCATCCCTCGATTCCTCGAATTATCCCGCAACGATTGTCACCCTCTTTCCTCTTTCCTCCTTCTCCTCCTTTCGACGTGTCCAACGAAGAAGCGCGGTCAATCGGGGAGAGTAGCAAGGCTCGCAAGGTTAGAACGTTGGTCCTAAATGGCAGAGAAGAAAATGACGGCGATGACGGTGCCGTTTGGTCCGCGCGAGGGACGATAACACACGGACACGGAGAGATCGGGGGCCGGTTGCGGCGCGCGTTGGAATTCTTCGCTCGTGCTCGCCGGTTCGCCAATAATAGTCGGTCTGTATCGCGGCGCTGCGTCGTTCCAGACGCGTCGGCCATTCAGCCGTTGAATGCAGAAATAACTAGCTATCTGTTTGTCTCCCGTACCCAGCTGCGGAAATTCATACACAGACCACGGTCTCCGGTTTCTGTTTGCGAAGCCACCCGGGGGCCCCTTTTGTTGCGACAACGAATGAAACGTACCTACTACGTCCTCCGCCTCGTCCTCCTCCTCTTCTTTCTCCTCTTCCCGCGCTCGCCGAACCGTCGCCTCTCTCATCAACGATCTATCCTATCTTCCCTTTTAGCGGGGAGGAGATCCCCTCGCCCCCCTCGCGCTACGTTTTTTCTCGACTCGTCGTTGCCTCGATCGTTCTTTTTTTTTTTCTTTTTCTTTTTCTTTTTCTCTTTGCCTCGAGAGATCGAAGGATCACGGCTAAAGTTTGGAAATTGGCGATTTTCTTTGACGAGAGAGAGTTTTTATTTTTGGTAGTGGTAGGGGAGCGTGTTGTTTGTTGAGAAGAGGGATTATTCCGAATTTGAGTTTTAAAGATATTGCAGGAAATTTGAAAATTTTATCAATAATCGAAGATCATAATTAACGAATGGGAATTGATTATGTTTAAAATGGAAGAATTTTATTAAATAAACTCGAACGTATTATTTTATCGCGCGAATCTATTAATAGGTGGTAATTGGAGGCGATGAGTTGAAAGTAAGAATAGTCGAGATACGAATAAAAGTGTATTTGGTATTTTAAAAATGGCAAAACGTGGAATAATAATATCGAATTTATCCTTGGCGAGCGATGAGATATACGTTTCGAAACGATTAATAGAATTTCGCTTGTTTGCCGAGGTAAGGGACACGCGTGAATGCGGCGATAAATCTCGAGATTCCCCGATCGAGTCTCTCCACGTCAAATTCTATTGAATAGGGACGCGCAAGAAATAACCGCGTGGGTGGCTCTTTTCCGCCGGCATCTCGATAACGCTCCCTGCGACCTGTGTCTCGCGCATTTTTCGTCTCTGACAAATCGTAATCGCTCCCCTTCTAACTCTAAATATCTATTATCTATATCGTCCCTCTTTTCTCTTTTCACCTTCAAAATTTTTCGGAACTCAAAAATCGTTACGATCCAAAGTTACTTCTTCTTTCTCTCTTTTAATTTATAAAAGAGATAAAATTTACTTTCCAATTTTTGAAATATTAAATATAATGTTAAACGAGTGAAAAGGAAAATAAATAAATAAATGAATAAATAAACGAAGAAGTCCATAGAAATATGAATCGTTCAAGTTGGCAGAAAAATTTTCACGGTGGAAATAACACTTTTCTCTCCCATTTACCACGGAATAACAACGGTAATAACACGTTGCGTTTCGATTACGTAACGAGGCACACCTCGTTTCCCCGAACAAACGTGCAACGTGCATCGAATTCGGTCACCAATCTGTGACTCCCTTTGCCTTACCGATTCGCAATTAACATTCCACGCAACCGTCGCTTGTCGCAATCCTTGCACATTTCCTTTTACACGCTCTTGCATCACTGGCACCCGTTCAAGAAAAAGAAAATCTTCCTTCTAAGATCATCTAATACGCACGATTTCACGGTTGATAAAATTCTTCGATCGAAAATGTGTTTTAAACTCTCCAAAAACGAAATTTCTCTTCGAACATCAGACCCATTCGCTCCAAACGCTTCGACGTATGAATCACGAATGCATGAATTTTTCGATTGATAAAATTTAATTCCCGAAATCGTTGAAATCCGTAACGAAATTCGATTGAAATTTCTAGCGCGAAAGATAAGAGGCTCGGTCGCGCTCGAATAACGTGAGGGAAACAGGGTAAACTGGTTCCATGGCGCGAAACCGGCGTTTGTTTACGAGATGCATCGACTCACCTGAGCAGGTGCCGCTAGGCCAGCCGACATCGCCGCCGCGGATTGCTGTGCAGCCGCGGCCGCGGCCGCGGCCATGCTGGCTGCTGACAACGAGCCGTAAGCCGCTGCAGGCCCATAGTACGAGCCCATTCCAGCTTGACCCATACTGCCGGCCATCCCTGCAATATACGATAGTTTGTTACACGAAATTAAAAGGAATTCTTTCGAATCCAATGGAATATTTCAAGGTGGGAGAATTTAATATTTGCAATCGAATTGTAGGCGAAGAATCTTTTCCTTTCCTTTCGAAAGGAAATTCAAAGTTGAATCGGTTCCGTCGTGCGTGATCGCGTGTATTGAAGTATTGAATTGAAAAATTTTCAGGATCAGGAAGAATTTTAAAAACGGATATCGCGGTAAACGATAAATTTGAAAAAGTCGCTTCTGTGGATAGAGACTCGAGAATTCAGAAATTGGGAAAAATTCCTAGCTTAATTAATCGAAGAAGAAAAGAAAAATATCGAAATCTTCGACGATTCTTCCAAAAGGAAGAATTCTTCTTGGAAAATACTACTTCTGTCCCCATACTGACGCATCCCTCGACGAAGGATTCGATTCCTCGCGTCGACGAGGAAGGCGACGAAGGAAGGGGACGGCCGGTTACAAAATCGCGATTAATAATCGGCCCCGTGAATTCTTCTCTTGCGGGGTCATAAATCTCCCCGCCAATCATCCCCGCGTTTCTTTCGCGCGACGTTTCCTTCGTCATCGGTTCTTCAGGCAACGAGCGGCTCGTTGGCCACGGCCATTCTTTCCGCCGTTCGTTTCCGTCGTTCGGCGACGATGATCGATAAGCTTACGGATCGGAGCCGTGATATTAATCTCGGCGGGGAAAAAAAAAAAAGGATCGAGCCCAGTCGAGTTCGGTTAATCATCGATATATTGTCGATCGACGAAAGGTCGTGGATCGAAAGCCGATCGAGGCTCGGTTCGATTAAAGGTATATTGTGGAAAGGCGTTTTTTGTCTCTCTTGCGTGAGACAGGTGTCGAGGAAGAGAAACAAGGGAACGATGGAAATGGGACGTTGTTCGATAATTTCTTTTTTTTTTTTTTCTCTCTTGAGAAAAATGCGAAGATCAAAGAGCAAATTCGAGCAGTGGTGAACGACATTTTTTTGTGAAACAATTTTGTCGATTTGATCATTTTTGTCCATTTCCATTCTAGATTTATAGAAGATTCTTCCATTTCGTACGGTGTAAATACAATTTTCACTATTTCAATGCGCGAAAAATTCATATACGTTATAATGGTCAGTCTCTCCTTCTTTTCTCATCTTCGAAAAAATTAACGTCAAGGATGAAAAGGGATCGATTCGTGAAAAAAAAGTAGGAGAAGGAAATAAAGAAGGGAGGTGAAAAGGTAAGAAGGTGGACACCAGCGATAAATCGGGGATTACCGATCGCGTTTCAAGGTGTCGCGTGGGCGGTGGGATAAATTCTGGCTTTAATCGGGCCGTTCCCATTGCTGGAATTAATAATTTTGTTCGGTTATGCCGCGAGGAAGGGGAATCTCGATCCCGTTCGAGAGAAACATTAAGAGATTTCGAGAGAAGAGAATATATATTTAGAACAGAATCGCGGTAATTTTTATATCTTTACATCTCGAGACGATCTATATGTATAATCCAATAATGATTAGTCGATCGATAATATGATTCGGTTTACGTGGTTTATTTAGTCAAAATATTAAAATAAATCGAGATAGAGATACACGTCGGAAATTATAGATTGTAAAAATTATTGCATTGGAAAGTTTCTGGAATTTTACAATAATAAATAATATTGATAAGATAAATTTCTAAATTTATAATCGAACCTCTCGAATTTGCAAACTTGAATAATGAGTAAAAAAGAAATTCTCTCGTATGGAAATACATAATTTCGTAAAGGTGATCGGTAAAGAATATTGATTTTGTCCCTCGCCTTCCGTCTCTTTTTAACCTTCGCGAGGTGTTGGCGAGCAAAAGGTGGCACGGTGGCACGCGCATAAGACAAGTGCGTGGGTGGTTGGGATAAATTATCGGCTTAGACTGGAATTTCTGGCCAGGGGTTTCCGCTCGTGCAGATAGCACGACTTAAGACCGTAACTTAAGGGCGAATCTCTTTCTCTCTCTCTCTCTGGCCGGAAATTCGCGCTACTTTTTTTTTTTTTTTTTTTCTTTCATTTTTTAACAGAGGAGAAAAATCTACCAACTATCTAGGAAAGTCACGAAATCTTTTTTTCAACAACATTAAGCCTGACGCTTAACGTTATTTATCGCTCAAGTCTTTTATACCAATTTCACATCTCAGAATTTTACGCTTGAGAATCGAATAAATCCCCGGATGATCGATTTATCCCTCATCCAAATCCAAATCCAATCCTATTCCGCTCTCTTTTACTCGTCGAAACGAAATTTCCAAATTACGAAAGAAACGAAAAGGAAAGAAAAGGAAAGGAAAAAAAATCTTCTTATCCTGAAAGAGAGATCTCCTTATCCTGAAGGAGACAAAACTTACGAACGAGCTTTTCTCCTTCAAATCTCGCGAGATAAAAGGATCTGCACGATTCGGTCGCGTACACGGTCGTGATCACGTGTTTCTCGAACGACTGGGGGGGGGGGAAGGAGGAGGCGTAATCGTACGCACGGGGGTTAAGACAATTCGAATAAATAATGGGCAAGCGACATGTTTATGCTCTCGCGTGCATAAAGCTAATGAATCGTTTGACGGGATAGGGGGACCCTTCCGCGCCCAAGGGAATTATTCCACGATTTATTCCACGTGCCCTCCCAGGCAAAGATACTCCCCGCGATACTACTACTCCCTCCCTCCCCTCCACCTCCTCCAGCGCCAACTTTTGACCCGTGTTTTCGAAAATAAACACGGGGCACGTCGCGTGACTACTTAACTTATTTCTCCTTCGCTTACCCTCCTCTTTTTATGATCCGATTTTTACGTGGGATAGAAATATTTTTTAACCCTTTCCCCCGTATCCATCCTCTTACGATGAAGAACAGTCGCGAGTGTACAATGTCAAATAATTTTTGTTACGATGATCTTATTTATAAGAATATATATATATATACATTCATAAGAGGATATTGCACTTTGAATTGTTATCTGATCTGATCTTATTTACGAGATATTTTTAATAATTTTCCATTTATTATGTTACAATTTGGTTTTAACACTAAGATGATATTATATATTTTCTTTTAACTATTTTATGCTACTTCAGAATTATAAATACAGCCTTAAAAGTTAAAAAACATATTATACTGTTCTGTAACCTCGTACCAAATATCAGACATTGAAAAAAATAATTCCTGTATAACTAATTTCCACTTAAAGAATTTACTGAAATACGGAACCGCGTAATAATTATTCGTCTGACAGAAACATAAAAAAAAAGAAAGAAAAAAACTTCAACAGATTCTTCGAATCTGAACTCATTCGTTCACGATCATAACAATTTCACGCTCGATTGTTCGAATCCCGCTCTTTTCTTTTCTTCTTCTTTTTTTCTGGAGAAATTCAAAATTACGTGATCCGGTGCGAGAGACAATGGGCACAATGGAGAGGGCGGGATGTCAAACAAATCTGCGCAAAGGAGGCGAATCGAGGGGGATATGGCCGGATTCATCGAACATCTGTTACCCGCCGATTTCGCGGGGATGCCACTGGCGAGAGATAAGGAAGCGAGGATCGGGAATCGACAGATGCCGATCTCGTAATTGAACGCAACCTTGTACCATTGTCGCGGCAACGAAACGGGAGTGACGTTCCCGTGAATGATACTCGGTGGAGGAGGAGTTTGGGGGTCGAAGATCGCTTTCGAAGATTGGAATATCGTTCGTTTAGAATCTGATTTAAGCTACGATGAAAGTAAATGTTCAGACCCTGAATCGCGGAAGCGGATTCGTTCTTAAACGGTGAATATTCCCTTTTCCCCAACGAGGGAAATATTTTGCGGGAGAAAGAAGATTTTATTACGAAAGAAGGTTTATTACGAATTAATAGAGAAGAATTGACGATTAATCGCGTAAGAATCGTGTATATATAAGTTTGAAGGAAATTCTTATTATCAAAACGAGAAGAAACTCTCACAAATTCCGCATTAATCTTCCCCATACTTTTCCCACGCTTGTTATTATCCACCTATCCTCGAGTTGAAACAAAGAAGGTTGCGATGGAACAACGACAAAAGGATAAGAAGAAGTGACCAGAAGACGGGGGCCATCATCAACGGAGCGTAGCCGCGAGTCCCTGCATTCTCCGTTTGGTATGATGATAATACGAAAACGGCGATGGCCGGCCGAGGGGGGTGTGAATCGGGAGCCTTTGAGCTCTTTCCAAAAGCGGGCAACGCGTGAACCATTAGAACCGGTGGAGAGACGGTGCGGAGAAGAAAATGGCGCGGAGGAAACGAGGGTCGGTCGAACCTCGAAGAAATCGCCATTATAAGACTTCCGACCACGGAAACCTGGGGGGCATCGCCGCCAACAATGCGCGGCTGAAAACGAAAAAAAAAAAAATAAATAAATAAATAAAGGGAGGAAAAAGGAAAGAAAAGAGAGATAAAGAATATCAAAGCCACGAACAGACGAAACTGTTCTTCCTCCATTGTTCCACGCCCGCAACACACCTCCGAATCGCGAGGTTTTCCTCGGAGGGATCGATCCTCGCCTCCTCCGTTCCCGCCTATCGTAATTGCATTGTTTCCTCGGTATCAGGGCGAGCAGGGGGAGGGCGTTTCAAAAAGGGATAATTGCGCGCGGATTGTGAAAGATCCTTTCTTTTTGCGATCGGTGAAGATTAATGGGTGGGTTGCGATATCGAGATCTTCTTCTTCTTCTTCTTCTTCTTCTTTTTTTTAATAGATGGATAGATCAAAGGAAAGATCGCGTAAAATAGGAATAAAGTAATGAGAAGATAGATCGAAGAGGAATTTTTGGAAATTTGTATTTCCAGGAAAGCAAACTATTTGATACGAAATGGAAATGAAATAAATATGAAGAAAGTTCGTGAAAGGAATTGGAAAAGCTTTGATGAAATTTGAAAAATTATCATAAAAAAATTGAAATGAAAATGAATTAATTTTTTTTTTAGTGTATATAACGATTTTGAAGTATTGTCGTTAAATAAATAGGTGTTATTTGTGATTTGTGAAAATTGATTTATTAAATATATCGGTACTCACCGGTACGAAATGCATCCATAGGCACGCTAGGGTATGGAATACTGTAAGGATATCCTTCTTTCCGTAAAGTTTTCGGTTTTCTTCTAGGCCTGTATTTATAATCTGGATATTCCTTCATGTGTTGGGCCCGTAACCTTTTCGCCTGATCGATAAAGGGTCGTTTCTCATCCTCCGTTAAGAGTTTCCACTCGGCACCTGGAACATATCATTTCGATAGTTAGAATTAATATAACGAATCAACGAGTTCTTGAAGAATTCGCGTTGAATACTTGAAAAATTATTAGAGGAGTGTATATACATAAAAGAAAAAGAAAAGAAATAATTTTTGACTGAGATACTCGTGACTGAGTGCACGAGAGAATGAAAATTTCGATCGGAAAAGTTTTTGTACATATGATTAATTTCCACGTTCAAATATTTCCGTCTTCCTTCGTAAACTCGTCAACGAGTTTCGAAATCGACGAATAGTTTATAACTGCATACATATAATATTTCTCGCAGGTGAAAGTGTCAAGAGAAAACTAATTTCAAGAACAATATATAATAATAAATATGAAAACAAAAAGTATAAAAGTTTTTCATGAAAAAAAAAAAAAGAAGACGAATATTCCAAATATTAACCAATAATACATTACAAACTAATTCGATTGATATTAATATCGAATATCTGTGTAATTAAAAATAAATTTTCAAGGAAACAACAGTACTTACAACTAACGATAGTGTAACGATAGTGGAAAATTATACTAATCAATCTTCAACGTGGTAAAATATTTATATACCGACGATGAGATCAAAACAAATCTCCAAGACAAATGTAAAGCTATTTCTCCTTCGAAGATCTTGCGAGTATCGTGACTACGTGTATAATTTATCTTAACGAACGAAAAGTAGAAAATATGCACGATTTGTTAACCACTCACTTCCTTACACACCATCAATACCGTCTTTCAACACTGGCGCACACGTAGTTTTCTCAGTTTCTTCTGGATAAAATGGATCTTGCAATTTTTCCACTAATTTTTTTTTCTCTCTCTCTCTCTCTCTACGAGCCTTCAATTCGCTAGAGGAGAATGAGGTAACGTGTTCCTACATACGTCGCTCCTTCTCTCCCGCGCATTGTGTTTGTAGTTCGTATAAAGCAGTTTGTAAACGAGCGATAGGCACTTGGATAACGCGTCCGATCAATGAGTATAAAAGGCATTCGGACGCTGTGTTTACCCGATGAAACGGCCGTGTTGTGTGCCACCGGCGGCAGAGCCAGCCGTTATGGCTGAATTATCGACGAGCTCGTAATAGCGCCTCATTTAAATCCGCCTTGTTCGCGGCGGCCCATCTGGAAAATTGCATTTTCGATTTTTTTCCGCCGACTTCTTCCATTTTCTCCCTTCCCCTCCTCTTTTTCGACTTGTGGATTTTTATCGATTTTTTTTTTTCGAACGATAGGAAGAAGGAAATTTTGTTGAATAATAATTACGTCGCGAAATAATTACAAATCGAATGATTAAAATTTATTAATCAATTTATTAAAAATTGATTTTTTTTATCTTGCGCTCGGATAAATGGATCGTTATTGAAATAATTCGAATAAATATATAACGAGTTATTTTATTTATTAAGTGACGAATAAGGAATCGGTATCGTCCTTTTTATCGCGAATTCCTTAGAGACGAGTCACGAGACGAGAGTGATTGTGGATTTGGATAAAACGTTTGAACGAAGAAACTTTTATAGTATTATAGGTATTTGCAAAATTACCAAGTGATCCAGTGGAGTACAGTGTAGCTGTATTTTAGACAATGAAATAGGAAAAGGAATTACAAAAATATCACAAGAATAAAATTCTTACCTCAGAGTCAATGTAAATACATACATAAAATTATACACTTAAATTCCTCAAAAATAGAAATAAAAATTCTCGAAAAATTTCTAAAAACTTTCACAATCCAACTCCATCTTTCCATTCCTTTTTTCTTCGATCAAAAATACAAAATATTCTCAAATATAATAAACGGTGTTAGTGCATTTCCGATTTTCGCGTTTCAATTATTTTACAGAGTCAAAAAACAGGCAGTCGTTCGCCTGACAACAATGTTCCCGCGGACTCCACGTTCGCCATTTCGGTTGTTCCTTCAGCGATCCGATTGTTTCGTCGAGAATTAATTACTACTTGTTGTCGGGGGTGGTAGTTGCGGCTTGGTGTAAACAAAGCGTGAAATCCTGCCATCACGGAAACGGAGGCTGGCTCGAACGAGAAAACGACGCGAAGTCCGCGATTCCAGCCCCTGAAACAAAGGCAACCAGCCTAGCGGTAACAATGGCCGCCAATGTCGAGACGGTTGCCGTCTTTCCGCGTCGATCTTCCACGTTATGTGCACGAAGATACGAAACGATTTGCTGGTGGTTCTTGGTTGTGTACAATACAGCCTTGATTCGTTAGAGATTAATTGCATACGCATGTAATACAAAGGGTGAAATTAATCTCGAACCAAGTAGTGAGATAATAAGTGTCTAAATGAAGATCGATGGAGAGAATATCAGATGAAAGTGAAGGAACGTTTGATTCGACGTTTAGATCGCTTAATGGTGTTTCTCGAATCGATTGTGGTTCTCCTTTGATGGAGTAATTGCACAGTTGATAAGTTAATATTTATCACGCTCGCGCATTAGCGTCAAAAATAGAGCCGATAGGTAAGTGTATCGTTTGGCTTTGTTCCCAAAATTCCTGCGATTTTATTTTGTGATTATTATCATATTGTTGTATAGCAAAATGGAAAATCTTTCTAAAAATCGGACTCGGATTTTGTTTTTCAAACAAAAGGCGTAATAAACGACGACGAAAGGCAAACAAACGGGGACAAGAACGGCAGAAATCCGAAAAGAAGAATAAGGATAAGAAACGAGGCCAAGGAGAGGAGGCTCGCAATTTCGACAGCAATATCAAGAACGAGCACGTTCCGGCCGGGCATACAACGAATCGCTCAAGGGGGATGAAAGTTCTCGATACAGAGTGGAGATACAGTGGCGGAAATTCGAGGCGCACCGGAGCAGATATATACCGGGGAGAGGATGGGATTCACGTTGCCCGATGGATCTTTTACTCTCCTCGTTATTGTTGCTGACAGCAGGCAACGACAATGGAAAGAGTTGCTCGGTGTATAGCGGAGCACACGGACGAAGAAAGACAGAGGCAGAGGGAAAGAAGGAACGAGAGAGAGAGAGAGAGAGCGGGCTAAACAATACGGACACGTGGTGGTTCACAATGAAGTTCGAGGAACGGTTGCACGGAGAGGAGAACGGAACAAGAGAATACGAGATTTTTGTCTTCCGGCACAATGTGCAGCGCTGATAACGCATTCGAGCCGAGCCGACTGGTGTCGAGCCATTCTTAATCCTTGTTCCACGTCCCAGTCTTGAATACGTTTCGGAGGGTGGAAATATAGTGTTTCGAAATAATAGTTCAATGGAGCGCTGTTTGGATCTGTTTCGAGCTTATTGGGATATTGCCTGTTGGCGGAGAAGGGTGGCGAGATTTCGATTTAACTGGAAAGTGGTTGGTTTCGTATTCGAACAGGTTATTGTTACTCTCTTACAGAGAGATATTTGACGCCGTGTTTCGTTTCAAATTTCTTTCCCCTTAAAATATACCTATTCCTTCCTTTCTTCTTTTATGTTTACTTCCAAGATAGAATATTTCACTATTAATTAATTATGCATACGATAAATGAAAAATTGGAAAAAATAGATTTTCATCCGCTTCCTTTTCCACCGAACCTCGACGGATTCAGATTCAAAACGAGAAAACAAATTCCTTCGCATTATTCGATCGATGCATCCATCCCCTGATGCACCTCTTCGAAACCAAAGGATGGTTTCTTCCTGGTATACGCTATTTACATTATAGCCTATTCCAATCGATACACGTTTCCTCGGTCTGAAAGGCAGGTGGCACGGATGAACAAGGAGTGAGGTGGAACAGAGGGTGGCGAACGGACTCGGCTCGGGGGTGGGTCGGTGGCGTATTTGTTTAGAACAAAGGGTGCCCGCCACCGTCGGTATTAGTAGGTAGGTATTCTCGGCCACCACTCTCTCTCCTTCCTCCTCTTTCCGCGCTTTCGGCCACGTCGTCGTCCTCCTCCTCCTCCTCCTCCTCTTCGTCATAGTCGTCGCCGGCATCGTCGTCGTCGTCGTCGTCGACGACGACGATGAGGACCGGGCTTAAAGCACAATGGCGCCCGCCTTTCAGTCCTTTCGCTGGCGAACAATGCCGTTTATTTAACATCGTTTAAAAGTACAAAGCCTGTTAATTAATGGACGGGGTCGAAGAAGAGAAAGAGAGAGGAGAGGGAGGAGAGAGAGAACGGTGGCGGAAGCCAAGGGAAGAGGAACTCGGAGGAGAGGACAGGCATGGCGACGGGGAGCCATTGCTTGCGCGGCTTTTACCACACCAACGACGCGCTATTGCCCCGGCATTACTATTTCTGAAGGCAGCTGCTATTAGTCCACCAGAGAGCTGCTACCAAGCCACTGCCTTTGCTTTCTTCTCTTCTCCTTCCTCCTTCTTCGTCCTCCCCCTCTCCTCCTTTTTTCCCTCTTTCTCTCTTTTTTTTTTTTTATTCTTTCTTTTGCTCGTCTTCATTGTCGCGGCCGAAACTAGGCTACTACCGTCGCTACTACCAGTAGACTGTTCTCTCTCTCTTCCTCCCTTTCTCTCTCCTCTCCATTTTCACGTTTGAAGGTTTCTTTCTTCTGTATACGTTATTTTCCTGTTTTTCTTTTTCTTTTTGTCTTTTTTTTAATTTCATTCTTTCTTCTCGTTTTCCTCTCCTCCCTTATTCTTTCTTTCTCGCGTCTTTGTTCTTCTTTGTTTCTCGTTAAGCGTGTCTCGTTCGTTGCGGAGCGGACAGAGGGCGCAGTGTGCGCGCGCGCGAAATTTGTTCGGCTTCCACGTTTTTTTCTTTTTGTGAAGGAATCGAATGGAGGAAAACTCGTTGGTTTGGTTTTTTTTTTTTTTTTTTAAATTAATTAATTACCTCGGTTGAACGGCTGCCTTCTTTTCTTTCCCGCTCGTTTCGGGGTTACGAGTTTCCTGTAACTTTTCGGTCGCATTTTAGCGCCGATGATGATGACACGATTGTTTCCATGCTTTGTCTCGGACGGGGAACGGGTCTTTCTTTGGATTATGAATAGAGAAA